CGTGCCTCCTCAAATTGGGTGCTTATTTCAGTAATTCAATTCAATTCAAGTTTATTTGTATTGGGCTTTTCACAGTACGGTTAAAATAATACTGTTAATAATACACAATACTGTTTCAAAGCCGCTTTACAGAAAATGCTTGCTTCATTGCTATAATTTAGGAAGTATTTTGTTATCAGCCAGAGATATGTATCAAAGTGATGTCCATAAGGCAATAACATCTTTAATATAATACATATGTGGTTAATTAATGTCATGCATTGAGATTAAGCAGACACAGTTAACATTCAGTCTTTCCAATATACAGCATCTACAAACGTTTACTAGTTTTTTTTCTCAGTTGGAGTTAATTAATTGTTTATGTACCATTTGACTGGTGGCTCTGTAAGAACCGAAAAAACAGATGTTATGGTAAAACATCCAAAGAAGCCACAATAATCTATCTACCCATCTACACATGTGGCAGTGTTTATTTTATGTCTTTGTCCAGGAATGGTGCAATACAATGAAAACACTTACTGCTCTGTTCCTCTGGACCCTTATGCCCTGCATGACGAGAACAATAAACTCACTTTATTTACAACCACCTTTTATCATTTAAGACCCAATAAATGACATAAACAACAAACACAACACACACTGCACGCGACGACACACATACAAACACTTTCTCTTTCTGTTCCACTGTGTTTTATGTGCGAATATTTTAAGAAATATAACTCACCTTGCGTTTGTCGAGGGTGGATGTTTGAAATCAGCACTAAAAACCAAAAAGAGACAATTACACCGATTGATTAATTAATAGATTTTGTTGCTTCTAAATAGAATTATATGAATATCTTTTAAAACTTTTAAAAGGAATTCCACAAGAGAAGCATAGTTGAAATCACCATTTGAATAATTTACACTGATTAGTGTGTGAGAGAAATAAGCTGTTTTATAGAAGAATTAAAAATAATAAACTACAAGCGGTGACAATGGTATTTTGCAACTGATTACATTGCAATTGATTTTAGGCCAATTTTATACTGTTATTGAACAGAATTGCTCAGCTCAACTCTTTCTATCATCTATATTCTATAAAATCAACTCAATATATCTATTCTTTCAGATCTGTCAACAATGGAGTGAGTCAATAATGACGGAGGGTGAAAGAGGAAGTGAAGTGAAGACAAAATCTATGTGGATTGCTAAGAATATCTTTGTGATGCTGTCATGATGCAGTGTGAAGGGAAGCTCACGACACTAGATCTTATTCATCAGTGCTTCATATGGCAAGTGGCATCATTGTGGTCAGAAACATCAGCACATCACAGCACAAGCAAAGACTATATATAGAAGCACTGACTGCTAGTCAAGATCTACTGAAGAAAACAAACTTCCAAAAAAGTATGATAAACGATAAATACACTGATCTCACTCAGCTACATGCAGCACATGTGAGTATATTTCACTTTCACGCACAGATATCATGAACTGCAGATGGATTTGATACTATTATTAGCAGCATGAATGAAAGCATAAATTAAATACATAAGATGATGAAATACAGATGAACACTGATTCACTATCATTATACAAAATAAGAAATGAATGCATAAATGATAAAATGATACTCACAAAGCATTAGAGGAAGTAGACTGGGGTCCATACTGATCTATTAATGACACATTGTCAAACACGCAGGCTGTTTTATAGACTCAACACTTCCTGTGCAAACACATACGGAAGAAAATGACTCCCACGTAAATTGTGTCATCCTGTCTATTGTGATTTTTATTTATTTTTTTGGATAATATGGAAGATTCTTTATTAAGCCATTTAATTTAGCTTCATTTCTTACATAATTTAAGGGGCCATATGATGCTGCTAAAATGAACATTATTTTGTTTATTTGGTGTAATGAAATGTGTTTAAACACTGATTCACTATCATTATACAAAATAAGAAATGAATGCATAAATGATAAAATGATACTCACAAAGCATTAGAGGAAGTAGACTGGGGTCCATACTGATCTATTAATGACACATTGTCAAACACGCAGGCTGTTTTATAGACTCAACACTTCCTGTGCAAATACATACGGAAGAAAATGACTCCCACGTAAATTGTGTCATCCTGTCTATTGTGATTTTTATTTTTATTTTTGGATAATATGGAAGATTCTTTATTAAGCCATTTAATTTAGCTTCATTTCTTACATAATTTAAGGGGCCATATGATGCTGCTAAAATGAACATTATTTTGTTTATTTGGTGTAATGAAATGTGTTTAAGCGGTTCAAGGTTAAAAACACATTATTTTCCACATACTGTACATTATTGTTTCTCCTCTATGCCCCGCCTTTTTGAAACGCGTCGATTTTTACAAAGCTCATCGTTCTGAAAAGCGAGGTGTGCTGTGATTGGCCAGCTATCCAGTGCGTTGTGATTGGCCGAATACCTCAAGCGTGAGACGGAAATGTTACACCCCTCACCATACTGTTGATGCCGTCTCCCGGAGCGACAAGACAAAAAACATGAAAACCCATTATAAACGAGGCATTTATAAGTTGCATCAACGATTTAACAGACTTTAATTGCAGTGTTCTTAATCTTTATAAGTTAGTAGTACTGTTCGGGTTTACAGTGTGGGGGCGTGTTAGAACGAGCCGTTTTAGGCAGGCGTGGTTGACTCTTAACTTTTATAAAGAATATCTCTTTGGATTTGAGACTTTAGTCTTTGCAACTTTACAGATCTTCTTTATGCACCAAGAGCTTGTAACACTCCAAAGAGAAAGGAAAACTTGAAATCGCATCATATGACCCCTTTAATAATCTTAAACACACACAAAGTATAATTTGCCAAAACCATGATTATGGTTATTATGACTTTTTTATAATTAATATCCCTGACTTTCAGTCTGTATTTTTTTTAAACGTTGTACATGATTAAGAAGCACATCAATGATTCATTGTTTCTGTATAAATTATAAGAACATACAAAACTCTCATTAGACATGTTCATACATGTACTATATACTGATGATTTGTTAGCAAAGTTCAGACTGAATGGGAAGAGATTCATTTCTGTGCTGCATCTAAATCGGGGCTTTATGCGGATCGTTTTAAGGCAAACATTATGAATTATCATCAGACTGGTCAAATAAGGAAGTTTTGCCAAATGTTGACTATCTCAGAAAATTAGAAAAGGGAAGTGTGAAGACACAAAATGTTACTAGAATTTCTGGGTGATTTCACAACAAACTGTTTAAGGGCAACTGAATCATGTCTGGCCCATGACACTTTTATCAGTTTTCATAAGTGCAAAACGATAACGATATGTGAGATGTGCAAGTGATATATGAAACATTTATATGATATTATTCAGTTTTAAATCAATACTGGGTCAGTCCCATGATAAGGGTGCATGGTTTCACTACAGTGGTAGGATTGCTGAATGACTAAAGCAATGTTATCAGCCTGATGGTATAAAACTTGAATATATTCCCACCCACTGTTACTAATACCAACAATGGATACAAGTATAAGTGCAATTAGAATAGCAAAATATGTGGGAGAGCATTGCTATTGTGTGACTATATTGTATCGCAACAGGAATTCCAAATGAAAGATGGGTTTGGGGCTGGAAAGCAAAAGTCTTTGTTGGCATTCAACTCTAAAACAATAAGTATTCTGATTGTCAAAACCATGACATTTATCTTATTTTGCCACTTGATTAGAGTGTGAATTGTTACACCCACAGAGCAGCAGTGGAAAACATGTCGAAGTACAACTGACAGACGTTCTTCCAGCCTCTGACGGTCTGATGTGGGTTGACGTGTGCCTTAAATAGAGAAATGACATTATGACCTCCATAAATAGAATTAGGATGAAACAAGACAAGACAAGCATTTCTCCTTAATTTGGCCACATCAGTCAATATCAACATGTTTAGATTACTTGTTTAAAAATATAAGGCATACAATATAAACCGTAGCCATAATTTGATAATGTCACGTTTGCTGCCTTCTTGTTGTCTGATTTGTGATGCTGTTTGAATTTGTGAAATAATGATGTAATATTTGAACTCTTATATGGAAAAAATATGAATCAAGCACAAAACCTCCAAAAATCCTAACATTTGTAAATATGTTATTATTTCCTAAAAAGGCAGCAACTGAAAACTATATTTCCAAACTATTTTTGAAGCTGTTGTCTAATCATGCCATAACAATAAAGCATTTTTATAAATCCGGAAAAAAAATAAAAAAATAAATGTGCATTTCCCTTCCAGCCAATGAATGCTATTCATTATTAAAGAAATTATCTGCTTCCATTTATGTTATTGTAACAAACGCTTGCACACAGTACCAATAAATTAATTAGTTTTATTCATCAGTAAAAAAAAAACAAAAACAACAAAAAACAAACAAATAAAAAAATCTGTGTGAAAAACCCCTCTGCTATGACATATGCGATCAGGTGCTGTGTTTGAGATTTAATCGGGATTTTTGAATCAATAAAGCAGCGAAACGTGGGAAGCAGCAGTGACAGACTGTGTGTCGTGTGCTTCAAGCTGACCGAAACATCGTCTGAATAAAACACTCCACAAGTCCCTCCGCGATATCTCTTTCATTAAACACATTGTCAAAGTGTTTGTTAAAAACACGGATGACACATTCAAATATTCACCACTGTTAATACACAAAATTTACATGAAAAGTACACGCAACCTTGTCCATTACCGTGCTCATGCCGTGGATTTGATCTGACGGTGTTACAATAAATGTTCACTTGTAGCAATCTTTGGTCTCTAAATAAAGTTCAGTACCTCTACAATATGTATACGTTGGTTTTACTCGACTAAATTACTTAACAACTTCAATTTTATTCAAAATATGAAAGGAGAAAACACAAGCACCGGTCGCTCATGCAGGAGCACAGACACTGAGCAGCGCTGGTTGAGTCTACACGGTTCTCATTCTGTGGTTAAATGCGCAGCGCCGCACAACAGCCGCTCATTCATTCTTTGTTGCTTACAGTCACAGTTTGAGTCCAGATTCGATCAGAGAGATCATGGCAGAAACCGCTCCAGCAGCTGCCGCGACCAAAGCGGCCAAGAAGAAACCAGCAGTTAAACGCAAGAAAACGGGTCCGAGCGTCGGCGAGCTCATCGTCAAGGCTGTGTCCGCGTCTAAGGAGAGGAGCGGTGTGTCTCTCGCCGCACTGAAGAAAGCGCTGGCTGCCGAAGGCTACGATGTGGAGAAGAACAACTCCCGCGTCAAGATCGCCGTCAAGAGTCTGGTGACTAAAGGCACCCTGGTCCAGACCAAAGGAACCGGCGCCTCCGGCTCGTTCAAGCTCAACAAGAAACAAGCCGAGACCAAGACAAAACCCGCCAAGAAAGCCGCTCCTATAGCCAAGAAGCCCGCAGCAAAGAAGCCCGCAGCCAAGAAACCTGCCGCCGCGAAGAAGAAGCCCAAGACCGCAGCCGCGAAGAAGCCCGCCGCCAAGAAATCCCCGAAGAAGGCCAAGAAACCGGCTGCTAAAAAGGTAACGAAGAGCCCCAAAAAAGCAAAGAAACCAGCGACTCCTAAGAAAACAGCCAAGAGCCCTAAAAAGGCCAAAGCAGCCAAACCCAAAACGGTGAAACCCAAAGCTGCCAAACCTAAAAAGACAGCAGCCAAAAAGAAGTAAACTGTTTATTAATATTTTATCAAAACGGCTCTTTTAAGAGCCACCCACTGATTCAAAGTAGAGAGCATTATTTCCTCGGTTATCTGTCCAGTGTTGTGTCGTTGCATAATTTGGACATCATTGATAAAATAATTTAAATACTGCTGCAAGTCAAACTTTAAACTATTATTATTAGTAAAACCAGACAATTCAGTAAATAATAGGTAAGGCAGGGTTAATCGTGTAGCACATTTAATAAAGAGTAAAGTGCTATATTCATAAAATGTCATAATGTGCTTAAAAAAAGATTCAGAAATAACCAAATCGAAAGAAAACGAAATAAAGGTACACACAAAAAGAAACAAAAATACACGTTTAAACTATTACTATGTAACTTGTGAGAGTTGTAATTAATAGCATTAAGAAAATTAATTATTTAAGCAGAAATTCATTATTTTTCAGTCATATTGTTCAGTTTTGCCAAGATAATAATCTAATTTTGTCAAGCGAAGTGTTTGCCTGTAGATAGCTATACCTATGTTAGTGAGGCTTGGAACACAACATCATGGTTGGACCATTGTATTAGTACAGCAGATGCACATGCCTCGCTGAGGGGTATGAGCATCTTATATGATACAGTAACAACTGATCACATACCTGTGTCTATGGTGAAGTTAATCAAAGGTAGGATATCTGGGGGTGTAGCCATACTGTGGAAAAAAAAGTTAGACCCACTGGTGAAGGTAATTAGATTGCATGTGAATTGGTGTATTGCAATACAGATTACTTATCGAGATAAGACTTTTATTATTCTAAATGTGTATACACCTTACGAATGCCATCATAATGAAGATGAGTATTTAAATAGACTAGCTTTTATCAGTTCTTTTATTGAAAGTTATACTATTTCTAGTGTGTATGTCATTGGGGATATGAATGCGGATATTTCAGACAGAAATTCATTATTTTCCAGTCATATTGTCCAGTTTTGCCAAGATAATAATCTCATTTTGTCAAGTGAAGTGTGTTTGCCTGTAGATAGCTATACCTATGTTAGTGAGGCTTGGAACACAACATCATGGTTGGACCATTGTATTAGTACAGCAGATGCACATGCCTCGCTGAGGGGTATGAGTATCTTATATGATACAGTAACAACTGATCACATACCTGTGTCTATGGTGATAAATGTTGAGTTTCTTGTAGCGATGTCTAATAATGAAAATAATATCAATGCAGCAAAAATGGATTGGTCAGCACTTACAAAGGAGGACCTTTTAGTCGATTATGTAAATACAGGTAGATGCCTGAGTAATATTCATTTACCTAGGGATGCAATGATGTGTAGTGATGCAAATCATCAGAGGGATATCTGCTCAATGTATAATGATATAGTTAATGCCCTGCATGGTTGTAGTAAGCCATTTTTTTTTAAATCGAAGGGTATAATGAATAAGACTAGGCCTGGCTGGAGTAAATATGTAGCTGAATATCAGGCTGAAGCCCGGGAAGCTTTTAAATGATGGGTTATAGCAGGTAGACCCAGGCAAGGGCCTGAGCTTGAGTATAAGAAGTCTACAAATGCAAGATATAAGTATGCTATTAGTTTTATCTGTAAAAAAGAGCAAAGCTTAAGGACTGATTCTATGGCTATGAAGCTGTTAAATCATAATATCAGATTGTTGGAAAGAAGTCAGAACTTTTAATAGATGCAGAGTATCTCTTCCTTGTACCTTAGATGGAGTTTCTGGGGCAGAGAATATTGCAGAATTATGGAGACAGCATTATTGTAGTCTTTTTAATTGCATCCGAAATGAATTGTATAATGTGGATGATATTCAAGTTAATGATCCAATAGTGATTATGTCACGTGAGGTGGATCATGCTATAAGTAAATTGCCTCAAAATAAAGCTAGTGGCCTAGATAATATTTCTGCTGAACATCTTAAATATGGAAGTAAGAGGATATCCCCTTTATTAGCTGTCTGTTTTACTGGCCTTTTGATTCATGGTGTGTTCCCAGATTCAATGTTGTCTGTTCTGTTAGTGCCAGTTATTAAGAACAAAGCTGGAATGGTAGGTAATTTAGATAATTATAGACCTATAGCTTTAGCTAGTATCCTGTCTAAAGTGTTGGAAAAAATCTCGCTGGATAGGTTAAATGTGTTTATTAATTCTACAGACAATCAGTTTGGATTTAAGATGATACTGATCATTGCTTCTTTGCATTAAAGGAAATAGTAAACAAGTATAGAGATAAAAACTCATCAGTCTTTATGTGCTTCATTGATGCATCTAAAGCTTTTGATCGGGTTAACCATGCGAAGTTATTCCTTTTGGGGTTAGTAATGGCGTGAGACAAGGAGGGATTTTGTCCCCAATTCTGTTTAATCTTTACATGGATGATCTATCTGAATGTTTGAATGCTTGTAAAACTGGGTGTATGATTGGGAATATTCTAGTGAATCATATTATGCATGCAGATGATCTTGTGGTGTTTAGTCCTATAGCAGTGCTGGTCTTCAACAGCTTTTAACTATGTGTTCTGATTATGGTGTTGAACATGATATTTTATATAATCCTGATAAGAGTGTGGTTATGATTTGCAGAACTAAGGAGGATAAAAGTATAAAATTTCCAGTTTTCAAGTTGTCTAGGAGGAGTCTCACTGTGTGTGCTAAAGTAAAATACCTTGGACATTTCATCACTGAACGCATGACAGACGATGAGGA